TTTATTTATTTATTTTATTTTTTAATTTTGTGATGCAAGGTGACCCAGAACGGTGCGTCGTCTGTTAATGCAGCGATTCACAACATCGTCGCCCGCGTGCTGCTCCAGATTGATTTGGGTCCTGATGAATAGCAGAATCTCTCCTGTGTTTATTTATATTGGCTTCTAAATCTGCGCTTGCTTTCATTATTACCTTCCGCGTCCTCGGGGAGCGTTTTAGAGAAAAATAATTTTGATTATGAAGCTCGCTGCTGAGCTTGTCGTCTGAGAGTTTAAGTGTTTGTGTCTGGTGATGAACAGAGCGCTGTAAGGGGCCACCTTGAGACCGCCTGCGTAATTAGTTGATTTGCGGCGTGATATACGAAACATCGCTGCTTTTGTTTGCATCCCGTGCAGAGGAATAGAAGCTCTGTTTCCTGAGGCAGAGGGTGGTTTGCATTGAGGAATCCCCCCTGAAGACGTCTAGACGTGCGTCACGTGTTTATTTAGGATCAGACCGTCTTAAACGCTACCCGGGGTTTGATGATGCGGCACGTCTAAAGCGAGTAGTCAGCGCACTAGGTGGGTGTATTAGCCTCGTCTTTTTGTTTCCACACAAACCTGCACATGACCGGTGCAAACAGAGGATAAAACGGCGTCTTACGTAAGTGTTGTTGGCGAAAACTTGGATTAGAGCGCCGTCGGCCAGTTCCTCTGTGTTCGGCCTTCTGTAAAGGCTTTTCTTGAACTCTTGTTTCGAAATCGCTTCTGGTGTCGTCTTTCTCCACATCCTACAAGCAAAAGCTTTTCTCAAGTGATCGAATATATTTAGCGTTGTGGAAACTGCTGGGTCAGCACTTTGGGAAAGGAAGTGAAACTTGAACATTCATTCTTTTTCTCTTGTACCAAAAGTGGGCTGTTCCCACCGCTAACAGGATATGTGCTGTTTAAGGGTGAGGAGGCTTTTTACCCTTTAGACAAGAGCTCATTTGAACGTGAGGCGCAGACCATTAAATATAAGTAGTTTATGATTTAATTTTCTTGCAGGTTGGTGGTTTTGATATGTATGTGTACTAGGGAAGCGAGTATATAGCAGGATAGTCACAATACTAAAATTGTAGTAGTTAATACCAACAACAGTAATATATAGAACACACTTCATGTAAAAAGTTATTTAATGAATAATATATGTAATAAATAAATATTTGTGTTATTTATATTAAATGTTTTTTCAGATTCTGATTTTTGAAATGTTTATGAATTCATTTTTGTTTATTTTTTAAAAAAAATTTTTAGTTTATTAATTTTTTTACATGTTATAAATATTTTAATATTTTATTTACATAGGTCGTTTTCAGGTTTGTTATTTATTTTTCGTTTTAAAAGTATTCATTTTTAATTATTTTACCATTTTTATTTAGCTTTTAAAATTAATTTTATAATTACTTTTTATTTTATTTTTTTTACATTTTTTTAATGTATTTTATATTTTATTTTTTATTATTATTTTTTTTTATTACGTTTTGTAACCATTATAAGCAGTGGGGTGATTGAAAAAAGTATATTTTAAATATCGATATATTTTATTTATTTCTATTTAGTTACTTTTTAACATTTTAGTTTTTTTATTTTTGAATTGTATGTTTTGTTGTTGTTGTTTTTATTAATTTATTTTTGAATAAACTATAATGAGAATGGAAGCAGTAGGACAAATGAAGACAATAGAACAAAGGCACAAATGAAGTACACAGTGCTTTAAGTGCTTAAATATTGGAAGCAGTCCGAGCAGGAAGTGAAGTCAGTCGTAGGCGGGCACATTTGAACTCCCTGGGCGTTGGGCGGCTGAGACGCACTCATTAATGTCTGCTTTACTTCCTAGTAAATGTACAATTCTCTGCCTCTTTTGGGTCGACACTTCAAATAATATTCAAATGAGCATCTTTATTATTCAGTCCTGCCTTTGTAGTGGCACACGCCAGTCACCGAGCAGCTCCGCCCACATTGCCCACCCCAACACACACACACACACACACACACACACACACACACGTATACAGACATCTGTTCACCGACAGCAGACGGAAACTTCCTCATCCTCTCTCCCTCTTTACAGTGTGCCTGTATCATTTTCACTTTATTATAACATTAAATGTTGAAATTATTTATTAGCCATTATGTACTTCGAATACTTGAGCAATTTAAAGAGAGATTTGAAATTTGATGGTTGCTAAGGTCTTCCAGTGGGTTGCTAGGTGGCTGATTATCAGCCAGATTGGTAGATAGTTGGAGTTTTTTCAGATTCTGATTTTTGAAATGTTCATGAATTAATTTGTGTCAGTGGGATTTATTTAGTTTTTAAATATATATATATATATATAATATTTTTTTTATTATTTTTTTTTAAAGAATTAATTTGAGATTTTATGTGTTAATTTTTTATTTGTTTTAAATTTAATTCTTTTTTTTATTCAAAAAAATATTATTTATTTTATTACTTCATTACTTTTTATAAGTTTTTTTTTTTTTTTTTTTTTTTTTTTTTTTTTTTTTTTTTTTTTTAAATTAATTTTTTTTTTTTTTTTTTTTAAGGTTTATTTTTTTTTTTTTTCCTTTTTTTTTTTTTTTTTATTCAACCTTCCGGGGGTTTTTGGGGGCCTTAACATATTCAAAAACTCTTGAAAATTTGCACACGCGTTGGAACCTGCGGCCATTAGGACGCCGCAGAGGCTGGGAC